ACTAAAAAAGTATTTCTTACATAAAACCAGAAAGATAGGGTGCCAAGAGATGAAAAGAGTAGTACATGGCTTTGAAGAAGCCTGAGCTCGTCGAATCTTCCCTTAGCCAAATGAGGTTCCTTTATGGCACCATCTTCCCAAAGCTCCAGTTTATCAGTAAATGAAGTAGAATAATTGATTCATTGTTGCTTCCTAGGTTATGGTTAAAATAAAATAAATGTCATTACCTGCAGAGCACCTTAGCTGCAGGAAGAATGAATACATAACACAGAGCATGGGGACACGGCTCAGGACCGCTGAGCCAACAAGACACATCTATTGAAAACCATCTCATCACAACTGGGGCAGTGTGGGTGTAAGAACAAAAGTGATGAATGCAAAGAGAGAAGGGCTCAGCTGCAAGCTGGGCCTACACAGACTCGGAAGAATAAACAAAGCTAGATGGGTCAATGGGCAGGAGTGGAACTCTTGGTTAGATACACAAAGGTGATGAGATAAAAGGGGTTTGGGAAGCATCTTCTGTAATTAGCCTGGAATGTCAACAGGCTGGAATGCTCTGCTAATTACACAGACTAATAAGGAAGGAGGCTTTTCAGGGGAATGCCCGGAGAATATAAGGAGTTTAGATTTTTATCTTGTAAATGAATGGGAAGGGAGGCTAATATTTGCTGAATGCCTGAAAACACTGGGAAGAAGGGATTTAAAACTATTCAGGGGCCAGAGAAAGGGAGTTTTGGAGGTGTGACTAGCTCATCACAGAGAAAGCTGTGTTGGTTAGTATGCAGGACAGGAGACTTGCAGAGAAGAGAGGCATTTGAATGGTCAGTGGCGGGGGACACCTGAAGATATTGGATGAGGTCAGACACTGAGAGGCACACTGCAGAAATGGAAATCCCTAGCAAGGGGAGCTAATAGGAAACAAAGCCTCAAGGGGTACAGGTTTGGGAGTCTTTAGAACCAAAATATGTCCCAAGGGGAACACAATGACATGTCATTCCTGTTCTTCTGGCCTATAGGTACAACTCTTCAAACCTCCTTCCCTCCAAAACTCTGCATTTATTCCTTCTGGTTACACATGACATCCATCCTATAAAAAAAGCTATGTACACAGCTGTTCACATGGAAACTGAAGTTTGCACAGTTATTAAAAATGCATAAATAAAAGTCTCCTACAATCTAAGAGCGTGTCCTCAATGGTGCAAATATTGCACTTTCTGGAATGTACTCACAGAATGTTCCTTGAGGACCTTCTTTGTAACACTAAATTCGAGAAGCTCCAAAAAGCTCAGCCCCAACGGGCTGGTAAAATAATAATAACACACCCACACAGTAGCACATTGGCTAAACCACTTAAAGGATTAGTGATGCAGTGCTCTGTGTTCTGGTACAGAGAGCTGCTGGGACAGATTGCTCAGTGAGAAAAGAAAGGCAGAGACAGAACACAGAATTACCATCTGGGTTTCAAAAACATAAAACCTCTCTGTGCTGTGCATATATGACTTCTAGGCCGCTCGCACACACACAGAAGTTCAGATACTTGTGCAGTTGTAAATAAAGAGACCTCCAAAGACTGATGACTGTAACAGCTCTCGGTAAAACATACTGCCCAGCACAGCACATTTAGTCCCCGTGCCTCTGCTTCCCTCTAGGCTAGTGGCTCTCAACCTCCCTAATGTTGCCTGCCACCCTTTAATGCAGTTCCTCATGCTGTGGTGATGCCCAACCATTAAATTATTTTCTCTGCTACTTCATAACTGTAATTTTGCTGCAGTTTATGAATTGTTATATAAGAATCTGGATTTTCAGTTGGTCTTAGGCAAGACCTAGCACATGATAATTAAGTATGTGATAACTAAATATAAACAAATGACTTTGCTATAATAAACTAATCTTCACTTAGTGTTTAATCTCTATGCCCCCTTAAATAAAATGCAAAGAAATCAGATTGTATTACAATTATTTCTTTAGTCTTTTTCCCAACAAAGGTGGCTTTCTCTGGAGTTTAAAATGAGGCCCTACTGGCCAGCAAGTTTTGGAGCGCACATTTAAAAGGGACAGTTTTTTTTTTTTTTAAATGAAATCTTGGTCAGAACACAGAATTATGGGTGCTTGCTTACTCAATAGAGATTGAAAAAAAAATAGCTATCTAAAAAATTAAAATAGCAATGAAAACCAGGTATCACTCCTTCACCATTCTGATTCTTTAAGTTATACCCGTGCTTAGTTAATTTACTCAAGCCACGCTGCATCTTCATTTCTAAGGAAGTACTTTTATGATACCGATTATGGAGTTAGATTGAATTACTTAGGACAGCCTGACTGAACTGGCAATGTGAATCAGAATGATAGAAGAGTCCTCGGTGGGCACCTGGAGAGTGCTGACTGGTTTCTGGCTTTAAAAAGCCCTCTCTAGCTGAAGAGTATGATTCCAGCAGATAAAAGACATCTCTACAGGGAGGAAGGGAGAAGGCTATAGCACTTTTAAAAGAACAGGAAAAACTGAGAAGCTAGCTAAGCAGTTAAAATTGGTTTTGAAGAAAGGCAAAATGTTGTGATTTTGATTTGAATGCTCAAATGTGCAGAACTCTCCAGGGGATGGACGGGTACTCGCTGTTAATTCTGTTTAGTAATTTCAATCACTTGGTAACTAGTAGATCAGAAGTACAATGTTGTCACTGGGCAGGACGGGCAGAACAGAGCTCTAGATGCCTGTGTGCAAACATCTGCCTCGACAGATGGCTCAGAGGGGGGGGAAAAGCCTACTGTGTGAACAAGCCGTATAACTCTTTAAAAATGAAATCTTAGCATGCTTGGAATGTCTGAGTTTATAGTTTGGCTTCAAATCATAGTTTGGTCAGTACCTCGCTTCTGATTTAGCCACTCCACCCCCATTGGTTTGGTTGTGGTTCTTGGAGAAAGGATCTTACTCTAGTCCAGGCTGGCCTTGAGCTCCCATTTTCCTGCCTCAGTCCCCTGAGTACTGGGAATATAAGCATATGTCACCAGGCCCAGCGGAGTCTGTTTTCTGTCAAACGGGTCAAAGAGGAGACTTCTTCATAGCATCACTGTGAAGCTATAGTGAGATGTTGGAGGGGAGTGCCTGAAAATGGGGGATGGAGTTTCAGATCTGGTGACCCATGCTCCCTATTGAGCACTGATCTTGCCACAGCATGGGTAGCCATTTTATTCATGTCCTTCCTTTGACCTTGTCTATGTGCTGACACTGTGACTTTCTACTCTCCCCCCCCCAAGTTAATTATTAAATAGTCTCTGCTTCTGGGCACAACTCAGCTCTAAATATGTTTAGTATTGGTCGCCAGTTCTCAGGTACCTGTCTCTTCCTTCATGTACCAAGAACCACTTTTAAGGGCCAGCTCAAACATTGTATCGAAAAGACTGGGTAGTCTGATACACTGAGGGATTAAGCCAATAGTTTCCAATGTTTTCAATAGTACTTTGACTTTCTGAAAGCTGACATTTTTACACACACAGAGGTAGATCATAGGGTCCAAGGAGCTTTTCTTTCTGTTTTTTCCCCTCTTACCACATACATTCATTCACTCTCAAAAATCAAAGTAAAGACGATTCGATGATTCATAAATGAAAATTAAAAGAGAATGTTCATTGCCAGTGGGTACCTAATTTCTTTTTGGTGTAAAAAAATGTCCGAAGGTAAATAGTGGAAATGATTTTATCTGCCCCACCCCAAGACAGAAAATGTAGTGTTATTACACCTTTGAATTATTGCATCAGACCTAGAGCACCTGCCTTCCATGCTGTGCTCACCAGGGCTACCAATCTCAGGAACATCTCAGAAAGACCAAGGAAGAGACACGTCCATAGTGGGATTTTATCTGTTTTTGCAATTTATGTGAACACATTTACATCCCCCTCCTGTGAAACACAAACCGAAAAGCCACACTCCCATATCTTTCTCCTGAAATTAAATTTTGGAAGGCCCAGTTCAGAGAGCAGTTGGAAAGCTGGCTCAGGGCCAGAGCGGAGAGAATAGCTTGTGAGGGCCATATTGTTCTTCTCCCAGGCCTCTATGGCCACTGGGAGATTCTGTGTAGGAGTGCCCTGGGAATTCCAGGAGCTTTCCAAGGCGGACAACCTGAGTTTGGCTTCCCACCAACCATTCTTCATCAAATCCCAGGATTGAGTTGGGGGAATTCTAATTTAGTCTGGAGCTGACAGATGTGCCCAGCAACAGTTGTGGCACCTAAAAGCATTAACAGGCCAAATGTGTGTAGGTGCAGCTAGTGCCAGGCACATCCGTGGCATCTTCTGTCATGGACAGACTTAGGGCCCCTGTCTGTGCTCTTACTAGAATTCAGAGGCACTGGAGCTGAAGGAAGCCATCTTCAGAGCTTACGAGAAAGCTGCTACATGTCACACCCGGCAGTGCTACATCTGAGACCTGGAACTTTGGGTGCTGTTTCTAACCAGAAAATGGGCCAAGAACTGAAAATGCTGTGTCCATCATGGTGGTGGAAACAGACTCCTATGAATGAGTTTGTGGGGAAAGGAGTGGGCTTTATTCATCTCATGACAGATGTCCCTGAAGAAACATGGAGTTCACTGTACCAAAATTTAGAGGTGTTCAGGAAGGTTGAAGTTAGAGTCACTAATAGATCTCCACCCCAAGATCACATTCAGTTGTCAAAACAGACATTCACAATTATTTGTGTAATCCTAATTGCCATTTGTTGTCTTTATGAGATTCACATGTTTTAGTGAATCTAATTGGTCAAAGAGATCAAGGAACTAGGCACTGTGGTAATCCCCATTGGGGGAGACAGCATAAAATGAAATAGAAGGTTTATGAAACTGGTTCAGTCACAGAATAAGTAGACAGCAAAGCCGTAAATCATATGTAGCCTGGATTGGCATACAATCTATTGCCACTACACCATCTCCAGTTCTAGTATAAGTGAGTACTAGTATAAAGAGAACCCTAAAAACACCAGATGTATGCCATGAATTTTGAGAAACAAGCCAGATAATGACAGGAATATTCTGGAGGAATGTGTTGGGCATGGTAAAAGAGAAGTGTTAATGGTTTGAATATGTCTCCCAGAGTTCACATGCTAGAAATAATCCTCAATTTTCTATGGTGATATTAATGGAAGGTGGGAACTGTAGGCAATAATTAGGATTAGTTAAATTGAGCTCATGATGTGATTGGATAGTGTGTGTGAAAAAGAGAAATGTGGTATTACTGACATTCTACAAAGATGAAGAAAGACCTTGCCCTGTGTCCGCTGGGGATGCCCTCTGCCATTTTATGATATAACAAGTGGGTCCTCACCCGATGCTGATGCCATACTCTTCAATGTTTGAGCCTCCAGAATTAAGCCTAATCAATCTGGTTTTTTGTTTGTTTGTTTGTTTTTAGAGACAGTATTTCTCTGTGTGGCTTTGTAGACCAGGCTGGCTGTGAACTCACAGAGATCTGCCTGCCTCTATCTCCCGAGCACTGGAATTAAAGAGGTATGCCACCACTGCCCGGTTTCAATCTGTTCATTATAAACTATCCAGTCTCATGCATTTTGCCATAGTAATAGGAAATGGATCAAGACAATAGGTCTTGATCTGCAGTGTTGGATGGAGGGAGAGAAGTCAGCAAGACAAGTGGTAAGCAGATTGTGAAAACCCTGAGTGAGAGTAGGGAATAGGTTCCTCGAGGTCCTTTAGCAAGTGCAACGAGAAGCCAAAGGAGATAGTGTCTGCTAAGGGAACACTAAAATTATAGATGCAGAAATTGTGATGCCAGTAATGGGTCACAGGGCATGTCTTCAAGAGGCTTTTGCTGTCAAGGCCACCCTTCCCTTTCCAGTGCTTCAAGCAAGGCAGGTACTGTCCTTATGATAAAAAGAAGGTACAAGTCTTCTAGGGCAGTAAATTCATGTCTTCGAGTGCCAGCTTTGACTGCTAGCAAAACATTTCCAAAGTGATACCTGAAAGGGTCTGAGGCTGCCTCAGGATTGGGTAGCAAGATGTGAGTCACCCTACAGCGTCTTTCCTCCATGCAAGATATAAGGATAGCATGGATGTCAGCTGTGTTCTGGAGGGTGGCTGCAATGCTATGCTTGCTTTTCTGACCAATCACCATTTGAACATGCTCACTCATGTCAGTAGGGTTCTACTCAGCCCGTTTCTGTGCTTACAATTCTCCACATTTCATAATCAGTGGTAGAAAAATGCCCATGTGTAAAAGGAGCTGATTTGGAGGACAGAAGTTGCAAAAGGCACCCTTGGGGAGGCTTACCTTTTTTGCCCCTTGCTCTTCTTCCACACCATCTCCTATGACAACATACACCACTTTCCTTCCGAACCTTTGGATGATCCTCTCAAAGCAGCTCTCCTTTCCTAGTGAGTCAGAGCAAATTACAGAAGTGTAACAGCTGGGAACCCAGTGTGACAATTCGGGGAAGCTTTAAATAGACACTTTGTTCATGATTTGGATTCAACTCATCCCGCCCAAGGAAATGAGTCTAGCTACTTGAATGATATGAACACAATACAATGTGGTAAAGGATGTGGATTCATTAGCAGTATGTTTGCTGTCTCTTGAAAAGTGATGGCTATCAATATGGCCTAACACAAAATCACAAACTTAAAATCTGAGTTTTGTTTTGTTTGTACCATTGTACAATTCTTAAGCATGAACTTTGACAATGCCACATCTCAATGCCAAAATATTGGACACCACGACTGAAATACTCTTTCCTAAAGAACTTATGACATAAACATAGCAGTGTGTATGTGTGTGTAGGTGCACACAAGTGTGTACACGAATGCTGTGTTGTAGTAATACATTCTTTCCCTACAAGCTGAGACCTAAAAGTCATGTAATTCTGGCAGCCTATTTTAACTTGAATTAAAAACTTGTTATATCAAGCTGAACATAATGCAAGACCAGTGAGAGTGATAAAAACAATAATCCAACTTGCTATAGCAAAAGAAATCAAACACTGGCATAGGCTTCTCTCTCCACATGCAGGTCTAGAGAAAGACACGCAAGGCCTAATGTCTTTGCTTAATGATGTCTCATGAATGTCCTCTTATAATAAATGCCAGCTATCGAGGGCATGGGTGCTATACAAGACTGTTGCCACCTCACCTGGCCCTCTCCTGCTCAACCAAGCACTTTCCTAGAGGCAAAGCAGGATACAGGTAACAGAACACCGTTATATGTCTACTATCTTTCCCATGTCAGGACTTCCTTGGGCTTGGTTGGCGGCTGTGCTGTCCGCACATCTCCGAGGCTAATGCCAGCATTGTTTCTTCTCAGAAGAGATCTGTGTTCCAGGTCTCAGCTGCCAATAAGGTCATTTTAATGGACAATGGGACAGTTTATAGTTCTCCTCCATGAGTGGCTGAGCAGGGCCTGCACCTCTCTCAAATGAGGATCAGATATACACATGAACAAATTGCTTGTTTGCTTAAACAAATGTCTGCTTTATATTTGTATTTTGCACTAAGATCTCTCGTTTGCATCCGACAGAATGTAATACAGCCAGCCCTAGTCAAAGATGCCTTTCAGTGCTTTAGCTGTCCACTAAACTGTGAAATTTTAAATCACTGTAAGAAACAAATAGGGAAACAGCTTTTTTTTCCTCTGGATGGAAAACACTTGGAAATTTTGAAAAGCTGTATTATTTTGTGCAGAAAGGAAGATTAAGTTGAATTTTATGTCAATGTGAGCAGTTTTTTCTTTGTTCTTTCTTATTTCTTACAGTGTTAGGGATCAGACCCAGGGCATTTCTCACAGGTGAGGCTAATTTCTCCTGAGCTAACTCCCTTCCCCGTAAATCCCTTAAAGATTATTTAAGGGTAAAGTTTTGGCAGGGAAACGAAAAGAAAAAGTCTTGCCTCTGTACTGTCACCTACAGGTTTTATTGTAAACTTTGGGTTATATAGGTTTTTTTTCACATGAGATATTTAAAAAAAAAATCAAGTTGGCACCTTTTCTACAGTGACCTCCACATTGATTTCATTTGTTGACACAATAAGCAATAATCATGGGGCTTTCAATTTCTATTTTATTTAACTTAACATAAAAATGTATTAGCTTTGGGGCTGGAGAGATGGCTCAGAGGTTAAGAGCACTGACTGCTCTTCCAGAGGTCCTGAGTTCAATTCCCAGCAACCACATGGTGGCTCACAACCATCTGCAATGAGATCTGGTGTCCTCTTCTGGCCTACAGGCACACATGCAGGCAGAACACTGTATGAATAATAAACAAATATATCTTAAAAAAATGTATTAGCTTGCAAAGCATGAGTAGTTCTTATACTTCAGAAAGGCAGATTTCAAAGGTGGCATACTTCTCTGCTTAGGCTCTCTGCACTTATCCTGTCATGGCAAACCTCATGTTCCTGGTGAACCATGGCAATGCTGACCCCACTGCCTATAAGAACTCTGTGTCAGCTTCCTTCAGTACATAGGCCTTTATCCTTTTCATTCAAAACCCTTTCCTGTGTATATACCAAATGCTGGGCATTGGAGCAATTGTGATGACAAAGAGAGACAAAAGGCCCCCAGGAACATAATCTGATGGGAAATTCATACTATAAACAAATAAAGAATTTCAAAGGAGACATACGAGGTTCTAAAAGCATAGGAAGATGGAAGTTAGACCGGAGGGCAGCCTTCTTTCCATGTGTGAACATACCCATTCTTTTGCTGTCTTACAGTGATATGCAGGGTACTAATGTATGTTGATGGCTGATCCCTGGCTTCAGCATTTCATGAGTACTGCACAATAGCTACTCAGGGACAATCACAAGGCCCTTGACATGGAATTTCTCTGCTTCCTTGATCTCATTAGCATGTATGTTCAATAAACACTCTTATTTGTCCTTCTCTACCCAGTAAATACCATTTTGTCCCTTAGCTTTGGCTTACACTGACCTCTGATCCCTCCTGGCTGGATGCAACAGCTTCCTCAGCCCTGCACACTGCCAGGCACTTAGCAGGATATCATCTCCTTGTGGAGAGGATTTTGAATCAGAGTGACATGAGGCTTGGCTCTTAGCCATTTACCTTAACAACTTAAGCCCGGCTACTTATGTTTCCTCATTTGTAAAATGTAAAGATGAATATGCAAACTGCCTAGTACAGTTCTCTGCATCTAGCCTGCTGGAGGCTCATTTGAATATCTCTTTGTCATAATGGGTCACAGATGGTTATTTGCTCCCCTTGAGAACAAGTCAGGACTTTTCATCCTTTTTCTTCTTAGTTTATATCCTGACTACGTTTCTTATCAGACTTCATGACCCTCACAACTGTGTATTCTCCTTGTGGGAAGCTTCCTTTTTCTATCTTCCCAGAATTAAAATGAGAGGTTATTTTTTATACATACTGAGCTAAAACTAACAAAAACCCATTTCCAGTAAAATAGAGATACTTTGTACGGACAGTTTTGCTTCAGCTTACAAAATGTTTGTGTTGAAGTTATCTAAAAGAATAAATACAATAGCTCAGAACTTAAGTTAAATCATTTGTACCTTAAATGCCCCACCTTCACCTTCTTCAGTAAAGTAACTCAGTTACGTGGGTTATATTTGATATTTCCCATGCTTCTTCCTTTTTTTCCGGACACAGCAAGAATTCTGAAAAGCAGTTGTATTCACTGCCTTCCCGTTCACACATGCCTCATAAAATAGGATTAGTTAAAACCATAAAGAGCTCACCTATTTTAGTCGCACTGTAAATATTTTCTATTGGAAACACAATTCCTAATCCATAGAGCAGGACTTTTGCCAATGCCGGGATGAGCTGGGTAGTCGTTACTAAAATATTCACACAATTCGTCCTATGAGAACCCAAAGAAAGGAAGACTGTTGACAAATAAGTCTTCAAGATAAGCAAGCCTGAGCAATGCCCACTTCCCAGCCCATGCCCACGGGCGCCTCACCGGGAGTGGATGAGTGAGAGGGCCTTCAGGGCCAGGGTCAGCCACGAGTCTGTGAGTGCTTCAATCTCAGCCCTCAGCTGGAGCCAGGCTTCCCTCTTAGCAGGGCCAAGCAGACCTGAGGGGTAGAAGGCCCATGAGACTTGCGTGCTCACCCACATGCTCATGCAGAGCCATAAGGAAGAAACATTTTACAGAGACCATCATGATCCTTAAGCCGAATTGTTTCAGATATCATTCAGTTGCAAAAGTATTTAGTTTGCAGGGAACATCTGTCCTGACATTCCCAGCACCCCTTCTTCTGATGAATGACCTCTAATCATGGACTATGGGTAGAGTGGACTTCCCTTCTGGCTCTAGGGTAGGTGAGTGTCCTTGGTCTGGCCAGGGACAGTGAGTCTTGGAATTTTGTCTGACTCTGTGGAATGATGTTTTCCCCTCTCCAGCTGAGGGACTAATCGGTGAATTAGAAGCCCTGGGACTACGGGTCATCATTTGGCCACCTCCTGTGAATGACTGACCTAGGACTGGCTCCTAGTGGGAGGAAGGCACCATGTGTTTTGAGCATCTGGCCCCAGTCATACTGTACAGCCTTATCTGTACACCTCACATTATATCACCTATTATTACCTTTATACTCAAGACACTTAGACCTCTGTGAACTATACTGAAAAGTCTCAGGCCAACACGCATAGCACAGGGTGGGGAAGAGTGTTAAGTTATAACCCATCTTGAATTGTGGACAAGGCTTTCTTAAAAGGACCACTGAGTGTTGGAGAGGTCAAGGAGCTCACCCCAGGTCACCACTGGTCAGAGTGAGGCACTAGGTAGCCAGGGCAGCTGGCTCTTGTCATATTTGTCACAAAATTGTAGTAGAAGTTCATCAGTTAGATGAAACCATCCTTAATTCTATTATATCCAACAAGGCAAGTCCCAGAGTGAGTGGCACTTTGCAGATTTTATCTAGACTATCTGAAATCAGCCCACTGAGGTATCCATCAGCCACTTACCTCCCACGTTGTTTTTGTAGGTGTTGTAGATTTCTTTTACTCGTCTGTAATTGAGGGTCAGCTTTCTCATCCAGTCCACACCACCTCGGACACCAGTTGCCAGGCATAAATTAGCACTGGTGGCTGCTGCAGGGAAGCCATCTGTCCCGAAGTTATATGTGCTGTTTAGATTCAAGGGAAGCCCAGAGTTAATCAAACAGAAGATAGATCTCAATTAGCTGAGCAATTAAACTCGTAACTGAGGAATGGTCAGTTTGTGTACCAAGGTGCTCACCTCAGGTCCTGGCCATTATCGTCTGATGAAACATCATCTATATGAACTTGGTCACATTCCTAAAATGCAATTTAAATGGTGTGTGTTAATTTTTAAGAAGCACCTTAAAAAAAACAACAGTATTTTAAAAAACACCTTAATTGGCATGTTTTCCAATTGTGTCCATCAGTAGGTGGCAGCCTTGTTAAATTGGCATTTTTACCTATTTGGGGCCCTTTTCTATAGGAACCAAGCAATGTCATCAAGGACTACTGTTACTCAGCTTTAGAAAACACATTGTTGTGTTTAGAAAGGAAAGTGATTGAAAACAATTAGCATGTGTGTTCCATAAACCTCAGGTACCTAAACACACCATACTACTCAAAGCCTAAGTAACTGAGTGCTAGCCTAACTGAAACCAGACATTTTGGTAAACGCAACATGCTAGAAAAATTAAACCTGATGCTAACTGCCAATGAAATTATGACCTCTGATTGCTGCTGAGCCACACACCAACACAGCCTCAGGCCAGTGTGCCGAGGAGCCTAGACAAAAATCTGTTACTGGTTTACTATTTATTTGAGAGATGTGAGTTTTATTCTCTCTCTCTCTCTCTCTCTCTCTCTCTCTCTCTCTCTCTCTCTGTGTGTGTGTGTGTGTGTGTGTGTGTGTGTGTGTGTGTGTGTGTACAAGCGTGGAAGACTTGAAAACTAAATAAAAATAATCAAGCCATATGGCATGTTTTCCCCAAACATTTTCCTGTTATTTTTACTGTTTTGCTAGCGTTACATATTCATGGTACATACATAAGCACTGGATTTATTAGTTTTTATAGAATAATGCTATTGTTAGCAGGCATGGCGCATGCACTGTTCAGAGCATCTAGTCACAGCCATGGGCTGGAGCTTAGCTACTAGGTCCCCAGTTTTTGCACCTGTTCACATAGAAACACCAAGTGAGTGAACATCCTCTTCCTCTATGCCCAGCCCCTGTGGCTACTGTGGGGAGAAG